CTGCCCAAACGGACCGCACCAAGGGGGAAAACGAACTCAAGTGCGATTCAACCGAACTAAATGAGGCAGCCCCCTTGAAAGCCCCCTTAGTTAATAAGTAGGAAGAGACTGCTTTGTTGGGGGGTGGAAGTGAAAGTAATATAGTAACGAAACTAGTTACTTTTATCACTCAGTAATAAGTAGATTAATAATATTACTTTTTTTAGGCAGTAACAAGCAACTAGTAACTTATTCCTTATTTCTGATTAACTTCCTCAACACTGTTCATGACTCACTAAATAGAGCACTATAGGATGTGAAACAAATCAGGTTAGGTTTTAACACATCACCACGTGTAAATAAGTACAGTTCAGACAAACATGTTACATTCATGGCCTTCTAAATTCTACTACCTTAGGTTTCTGAAATGTTGCACTACAAGGTCCCGTTAATAAGAGTCAGAGAGTTTGATGAAATGGCAGAAAATTGTTTCTCCTTACCAGGAGTGACCTGTGGCATAGGCGGTTGCCTAGGCCTTAAAATGTCAGGTGGCGCAGCAAGAGAACAATTTTGCTCGAATGAACTCCGCCCAGCTGATGTGACACCTGTGGATGCCGTGACAGTAATCATGTGCCCCCTATTCAGCCTTGCAACTATTATCGAGTGTCAGTGTTGAAGTTCTGTGAACTAAATGCTGTAACTGAAATATTTTATCATCTTCTTTCACTGATCCATCAGAGATTAACTTTTCTGTGACCACCAGAGGACAGCATTTCATTAAACAACTGCACACTGAGCTTCAGAGCAGCCATCCTCAACTCTAATGTGACAAGTCAAGTGTTCAGTATTTTATCATCAAGTTCCAATAACATCAACATAAAGTCAGCTATAAACATTTATTGGATTTGTTTTTGCAGCAGAAATCCATAAAAAGCCCAAATCAAATGTCTACATGGTTTCATTTGACTCTCCTGTAAAAAGATAATAAACTGCTGAATGTCTTTGTGCTTTAAATTTTTCAAAGTAAAAGGTGTTTTAAATACTTTGATATTGGGCACAAAATAAACCAGAGTCATTTTGTTCCGACATTCTTAATGTCACTGGAATCCATCTTTGTAGAAAAGTCTAGTCTTCATGCTTCATTGTGTTGACTTGTTTTCAGACTTTCACTGAGTGGACATGTCATTTAAGAGCATTAATAGAACGTGAAAGACATATTTGTGATGTCTCTATAACATCAGTGGCCACTGGCGGTGCGGTTGTTAAGAGGTGTGAGCTCGAAGTCATGAACGAGCAAAATCTGCTCATGGAAACTCAGGTAAACTCCCACTGCAAGCTACACTGCCCCATCCCCGTAAACAGCCAGTAGAAACTGTTGACAGCTTCAGGTACCTCGGCATCACTATGGACAATGAACTGAGTTTTGATCATCACAGACATCCACAGACGCTGTCAGCAAAGACTCTTTGTCATACGTAAACTGAGGACTCTCAGTCAAACCACATGTCCTGCTTCTCCTGTACTGTAGTATCATTGAACCCGTCTTGTACTGTGCTACCTGCTACTTCACCATGCTCCTTAAAAGCACTTTCACTCCCACCCTGACAGCCCTCATTGACATCGCAAATACCATAATCCAAAATCCCAGCCACCCTCTCAACTCATGCTTCACCCTTCTCCTCTCAGGCTGCAGATACAGACAGCTGCTCTATGAAGAAAGAACGCCTGGGGAAAAGTTTTTTACCCTGCGCTACAAGAGCACTAAACTCACAGACGAGCATGTGATGCCACTCCTGCGTAATATGTGCGCAGCAGGGCTATTCAATTACAAATTCAATTGGGTCGGATTTTAAAACCAGGACACAGAAATGGGCCGGACATTTTCTCACGAGTTGGGATGGGTATTTGGGATTTTTTGACACACTTTTATTGGTAATCCTTATTAGTTCAGTTCTTTATCGATGCTCTTAACAGTCCTATTATTATAATAACAGCATTTATCATTTGAAAAAAGTATTTCATATTTTTATTAACTGGCCTAAATGTTGTTTCTAGAGCAGCAACAGGATTTACAACCGCAAAGTCACTAATATCTCACTGGAAACAAATCTAAAATAATCATATTCCTGACAACAGCATACTGAGTGAAGTTTAGAAAGAATGAACAACTCTGTCCCTCCTGTCCTGCTCCTGTCCTCTGCCTGTCCTCCTCCTGTCCTCCGCCTGTCCTCCTCCTGTCCTGCTCCTGTCCTCCTCCTGTCGTCCTCCTGTCCTCCTCCTGTCGTCCGCCTGTCCTGCTCCTGTCCTCCGCCTGTCCTGCTCCTGTCCTCCTCCTGTCCTCCACCTGTCCTCCTCCTGTCCTGCTCCTGTCCTGCTCCTGTCCTGCTCCTCTCTCTGCTGCTGCTGGTAGAGAGGAGGGCTGATCTGTCTCCAGCACAGAGGAGGGGAGAGGCTGCAGGTCGGACAGTTGTGTTGAGCCTTGATTGGCGGTGATCGGTACAGGGCATGTGAAACTCAACAAAGATGAGAAGGAAATGATGTAGCTCACTCTTTAGCTACTTTCATACACTATACATATAGTTTACTTTTGTTGTTATATATTACATTATGTGCTGGGCCACATGGACGTTGCTTCGGGGGCCGCCAATTAAATAGGGCTGGTGTACAGTGTGTGTAATATGTGTGTATTGTTCGGTGCTCTTGGTACAAGCTGTGAAAACAAAGTTCCTCCACTGAGGACAATAAAGAATGAATCTGAATTTAGACTGATTATAATGAGATTGCCACACTTTTTAACAGTTAGACCACAGTAAACAACATTACTGGAGTAGATGTGTCTTCCTCTGTGTTGTTGTCCTGCACAGTTATTTTGGATTATTGTATATTATGTGGGTTGCGTTAGTTACAGCAACTGAGATGGTGGAGAAGCTGTGTACCTGAGTATCGGTAAAACAAGAATAAGTCTAAATTAAAAGCTATGAAGCAAACATTACATGAAAAAAGTTGATCTGCAGCAGAAACTGATCTGAAAGCAGCACAGAATGCAGGAAATTACCCCCCAGATCTCCCATTCATATCTCCGCATTGAGGATATCTTTAAGACACTGTTTAAGGATCTTTTCATCTCATTCTCGTGAACCTAATATGGCGTATTGTAATGTCTCGCAAGCTAAGTGTCTCTTCACACCTCTAAAGATGTTTTCCGGTGTAGAAAAAATTCAGCTTGAACACGGTGGAGCACACAAGCAAACATTACATAACTACATTCATTTCAGTTTTTGGAAGTTCTTAGTCACACTTGGTGAAGACTCAATGTCCTGGCCCACTACATGACATTTCCTTTATCTGTGTTTCAACAAAATCACTACAGAGCATCCAGAGGAGTCTTTTATATATTCATTTCTGTCTTTGTTTCTTGGACTGTGGCTTTCCCCTTGTGGGAGCCTCAGATGGGATTTGATTTCTTCCAGACATCCAAAAGGTGAAAAGACAAATATCACAGCGCAACTTCATGGTGACAGAACATTTTCAGAGGAATGTATTGATGGAGACAGAAACAGAGAGCCGTGGAGTGACTCCTCAGTCTCCACTCTGGTAAAGAAGGAAAAAGCCCAAACTGCTTGTTGAGCTACTTTTATCAAGTCTGAGAGGAGCCAGTTAAACTTCACCATGGACTGACTGGTTTGAACAATAGCACACACAGCAGCTGTGCTGAGTCAACAAGGAGTGCGTTTAACACAATGTATTACTCTGTTCTAAGAAATTTTGTGACAGCATGTCAAGAATATCACGCCAATCCTCAGGAATGAAGTGGAGCCAGCGCTGGAGCTGATGTTAATGATGATCAGGTGGTGAAGTGCAGTTTTGGTATTTGGCCTGGCAGCAAACTGAGCTTGTGTTTCTGCAGCTCAGGCCTCTTGGGCTATATTTGTGTGCAGCATCTTTGTCTGTGTTTCTCTGCAAAATGCCAAAATGTGTCACCTAACATACTTTGGTAAGTGTATAAAACCTTGGTGGCTGTCCAACTTAATGTGGGAAACTCTATATTTAAAGGTAGGGCAGCTGTAGGCCTATATTTCTAAATATTACACCATATACCAATTTTACTGTCTTCCAACTGCCTGTGTCAACTGATCCTTTTGTTCAATAATAATAAAAAAGTTCCCAAACTGTGGCCCAAAAATTGCGATCTGAACTGAACAGCTGTGTTTCTAATTCTGTCTCTGTAACCACTTTCACTCAATGATGTGCTATGGTTCGCATTTCACATTTTCCAGATGAAACTCCAGTCATCTACAGGGACTCTTGCATAGCCCACGTTCAGCACAAAGGAGGAGTCAGACTGCTAAAGATGGTGTTAGAAGAGCAAACTAGGTCAATTTTCTAGCCCACTTGTTTTGCCCTTTTCATTTAAAGAGGTTAAAATGGACCTGTCTAATGTCTAGTCTCTAATTAATGACGGTGGTGGTGAGTATGTTTGGATGCACAGTTATTACATCTAACATGTACATGTGGCCAAAGTGAGTTTCCTCTGTAAGATGGCTAGGCTCACCTTTAGGTTAAAGCGCTCAGAAACTGGAAAAGGCTCAGAGTAGAGCTGCTGCTCCTTTGCATTGAAACAATATCAGATATCATCGATTTGTAATTGCTACATATTCTTTAGCTATTTAACATGTTTGTTTTCCATTACATTAGTTAAAAATCTTCGTATCCTTACTGTCATGGGGCTACCCCATGCCTTCATTGAAGCCAGCAGTGTTGGTCTTGGCATGCTAAGCTAACCTTAGCTGAGCATTAGCATAGGACGGTTACCCTTAGCATATGGGCTAGCATCAATGGACACATGGCCTGCCATTTCATGTCAGTTCATATAAGTACTGGTCAGAAGAGTTGAAATCATGGTTGGATAAATACAACACATACAGTTCATTTCAAGTAATTTATTTTAGCTTATGGGATTTACCCAAGGTCATTCAAGTGTTTGTGTTTTATTCACCTGTTCTCCTCATCAAGCAGGGATCTGGGCCAAAGGGGCAAACAGGAAGTGATGGAGTGTGGAGTCATTTATAGGGAGAAGACCTGGAATGGTCCAAGTGTGAGCCAGTACAGAGGGGTGTACGGGAGTATCTTAAAGTTGCTCTTTTGAGAAGCTTTTGTTTAGCTGGTAACATTTCATTTCTGGTTTTCTAGTTGATTTGTTGTGTGGTGATGTAGCCAGAGATGTGTTTGATGGTTGAGATAACATAATGGTGTTTAATTGATTGTCAATTAACTTTGGTTTGTCTTGTAGGAGGGGCTTCTGGTATAAAGGAAGGAGGCAGAGGCCCCTGGAGAGAACAGCTTGGGCCTGGAAGTGCACATGTGCTGGAGCCCAATAGTCAGGGCTGATATAGGTTTTGCTTTGTTTTGTGTAATCTCAGTTTGTAATGATAATTTGAATAGTATATACTTAGTTTTCTCGTTGTTTGTTTTTGTTAATTTTTGATATATTTTTACAATACCTCACTTGCACAACTGCACTTTCCACGCATCTGGTTTAAAAATAAATTGAAGCACCAGGTGAAGAACTCATGTCCATGTCTCCTCCTTCCACCATGGGGCTAAACCTTACATGTGGTGTCAGAAGTTAAAACAAGCTGGGGAATGCCTCCCAAAAAGCTCCAACAGCAGCAGATTGAAGTTGAAGAGGAGGAAGTGGCGACAGGAGATGACGATGGCTCCCAGTCAGGAGAAAACCCTGGTACGTCTGTTGCGTCTAGTCTTGTCTCCTTGGCCAAGATGTTTGAGAGTTTCATGCAACTGCAAATGGACAGAGATAAAAGACAAGAAAAGGAAGCTGCAAAACAGGAACAGAAATACAGTGTGCTGAATCATCAAGTCACACAACTTCAGTTGGACCTTGAGGCTGCCAGGGGTGGCCATCAACCAACAGCTGGGGCACTAAAAGGAGAGCCTAAGCTGCAACGACTTTGATGACATTGAACATTTCATCACGACTTTTGAGAGGTTGGCTGGGGTCTACAACTGGCCACAGCAAGAGTGGGCCATACGACTGATCCCACTGTTGACGGGTAAGGCCAGAGGGGCCTTTGTGGCAATGAACCCAGCAGATACAACGAATTATGGCTTGTTGAAAGCTGCAGTGCTGAAAAAGTATGAAATCAATAGAGAAACTTACCGTCAACGATTCCGCTCTTATGACACACCAGCTGAGGAGTCCCCCCAAGAACTGTATACCCGACTCAAAGACTCTTTTTGCAAATGGGTCCAGTACGACACCTGCAGTAAAGAGGAAATGATGGAGAAAATGGTCCTGGAGCAGTATTTGAAGATGCTTTATCCAGAAGCGAAAGCCTGGGTCAAGGAGCGTGATCCAACCACTGCTGCAATGGCTGCTAAACTAGTGGATGCCTATGTGTCTGCTCACAAGGGACCAGGATTTTACCGCTACGCAGGACAACGCAGACTCCAAGGGGGTAAGTCTGAGGGGTTTTTGAAAGGGGGTGGTTCAGGTAGCCATACACAGGGTCAGGCCAGCTATAGAAAACCTTCACATGTAGATCAGACTAACCAAAGGGTTTGGTCAGGTCGCAAAGCAGAGGTAATATGTCACAGCTGTGGTGAGGCAGGCCATACACGCCCCTTTTGTCCAGTTAAAAAGCCCAAAGCTACAAACCTGTGCTATGTTCCAAGGCCTAGGGTTGCACCTTTCCCAGAGTCATCTGATTCGCTAACTGTTACAGTCCTGGTAAATGGTAGACCCCTAACTGCATTGCTAGACACAGGGTGTACTCAATCTCTTGTCCAGGCCAAGTTTGTGCAAAGAGAGCTATGGAATATAGAGGAGACAGAACCAGTTGTTTGTGTTCATGGCCACACTTCTGAGGTACCCACAGCAGAGGTTTATTTAGAAGTACACAACCAACCTTACCTCATCAAAGTAGGGGTAACTCCAGAGTTGCCATACCCTGTGTTATTAGGGACAGATTTTCCCATTCTTTTGGACTTAATTCAAGAGTGTAGGGGGAAGTTGTGTGAAGTTATCACTAGGTCTAAAGCAAAGGAACTCTCACCTTTACCAGTGTTAGGGGACCCGGAGGTTGAGTCACATTCAAGAGTGCTACAGTCAGTTAAACGTGTCCCACCTTTGCAAATGCCTGAGTGGCTCAAGGATGCACCAGTGGATGTAGGGAGTTCAGCTTTAGAGGCAGGTCTTGTAGAGGAGCAAATGACTGATACAGACAGCCACATGTCCTCTAAGAAAGTTATAGACCCAGTTCACACATTACATCTTATGCCATTTTGTGAGGAGCAGATAGAAGTAGTGTCAGGAGTCTCACAAGATGACAGGTTGGAGTCACGCAGAGAGCAGGTGTTTGATTGGGTAAAACAGTCAGCTGAACAGCCAGAGCAGGATGTTGAGGCTCCAGGGCTAGCTGAGGAAGATGCTTCCTTCCCCTGTAATCTTGCTCTTCAGCAGAAAAATGACCCCACGCTAGCGGAGTGCTTCAAAAATGCAGAGGCTAGTCATGGTTCACTTGCTGAGCTTTTTGTGGTAGAAAATGGTATGTTGTACAGGCAGTCAGAGTATGGGAAACAGCTTGTTCTTCCTGAGGTGTCGAGGGCTGAGGTGCTCAGGGTAGGTCATACTGTTCCGTGGGCTGGTCATTTGGGCTTCATGAAGACTTTCATGCGAATAAGTAAGAGGTTTTACTGGCCAGGAATGTATACCCAGGTTCAAAACTACTGTAAAACATGCCCAGAGTGTCAGCTCACTGCAGGAAAACACACAGCTCTTGCACCTCTCATTCCACTCCCTGTCATTTCCACTCCCTTTGAGAGAATAGGTGTAGATATTGTTGGTCCTGTAGAAAGGAGTCAGACAGGCAACAAGTTTATATTAGTTATTTGTGATTATGCTACTAGATATCCTGAGGCCTACCCCTTAAGAGAAGTCACAGCTAAACAGGTAGCTACAGCTTTGCTTAAGTTTTTCAGTCAGGTAGGAATCCCCAGAGAAGTTCTGACTGATCAAGGTCCAAATTTCATGAGCCGCACACTTTCTCAAGTCTATCAGCTGTTAGGTATTAAAAGAGTGAGAACCACCCCTTACCACCCTCAGACTGATGGACTGGTTGAGCGATTCAACAAAACCTTAATTAGTATGCTTAAAAAGTTTGTGTCGGACACAGGAAAGGACTGGGATAAGTGGCTCCCCTTTTTGCTTACCGCGAAGTTCCCCAGAGTTCAACAGGATTTTCCCCCTTTGAGCTCATCTATGGTCATCAGGTCAGAGGTCCTCTAGATGTTCTGCGTGAAACGTGGGAGGAGTCTGATCCACCAGAGACTATGAACATTATATCCTTTGTCCTAAAGATGCGGGAAACACTTATGAAAACCACATCCATGGCTTGTGACAATCTACTGAAATCCCAGGCTAAACAGAAACAATGGTATGATCGTGTAGCCAGAAAAAGGAGCTTGGCAGTGGGTGAACAGGTATTGTTACTTTTGCCAACATCAGAAAACAAATTGCTGGCCAAATGGCAAGGCCCTTATGAGGTCAAGCAGAAGATGGGTGAGGTGACTTACCAGATTTTCATACCAGAGCGGAAACAACCACTTCAAATATTTCATATTAATATGTTGAAGAAATGGGTCCCCCGGTCAGTTCCAGAGGCATCTGCACCCCATTCTCTCTTTGTTCGAGCTGTGGATGAAGAGGAGGATTTGGTGGAACAATATCTACCTACTGAAGAGGAGGAGAAGCAACTGGATCTCACTCACTTGTCAGATGGGAGGAGAAAGGAGCTGCTTGACATCTTGCCTCTCAACCTCTTTTTACAGACACCTGGAAGAACAGAGGTGGTATGCCATCATATCGCTTTAAAGGACCCAACCCCTCTCCGTCAACCGGTGTACAGAGTCCCAGAACGTCTCTTGCCAGTTTTGAAAAAAGAGCTGGACATGATGAGGGAGATGGGAGTGATAGAGCCTTCGGTCAGTGAATGGAGCAGCCCAATAATTCTGGTGCCAAAGAAAGATACAACTCTAAGATTCTGTTTGGACTTTAGAAAAGTTAATGGTGTTAGTAGATTGGACCTGTACCCCATGCCCAGGGTTGATGATCTCATTGAGAGACTAGGCAGTGCCAACTTCATCAGTACACTGGACCTATGTAAGGGGTACTGGCAGATCCCACTCACCAAAGAAAGCAAGGAGGTGACAGCATTCAAAACCCCTTTTGGACACTTCCAGTTCACAGTGCTTCCCTTTGGCGTGCATGGGGCCCCTGCAACGTTTCAGAAGATGATGGACAGGTTGCTGAAGGGCACAGAGGCCTATGCAGCGGCCTATTTAGATGATGTGGTGGTCTATAGTTCCAGCTGGGAGGATCACCTGTCTCATCTGAAGGAAGTGCTATGGAGGATTAGTGATGCAGGCCTGACCATCCGCCCAGACAAATGTGCACTTGCCAAGCAAGAATCAAAATATCTGGGTTATGTGCTGGGCAAAGGAGTGATCAGACCTCAAGTTGGCAAGGTAGATGCTATATTGTCAGCCGAAAGACCTAGAACTAAGTCGCAAGTCAAATCATTTCTGGGCTTGGTGGGTTGGTATAGGCGTTTTGTCCCAGGATGCTCTACCCTCTCAGTTCCTCTTACCAACCTGACAAGGAAGAACCAGCCCAACAAGGTGAAATGGACAGAAGAGTGTGAGGAGGCGTTTCAGGCATTGAAACGTGCTCTGTGTAAGGAACCTGTACTGAAGAGTCCTGATTTCCAACAACCGTTCATTCTCCAGACAGATGCATCTGAACTTGGGGTCGGGGCCGCTTTGTTACAGGGAGAACCAGGTAATCTTCAGCCTGTGTTGTACATCAGCAAGAAACTTAACAAACATGAAGGAAGGTACTCTGTTGTGGAGAAAGAATGCCTTGCCATTAAGTGGGCGTTGGACTCTCTTCGCTATTACCTGCTGGGACGGAAATTCATTCTAGAGACAGACCATCGGGCACTGACATGGCTCCGGAATATGAGGGACACCAATTCCAGGATAACACGGTGGTTTCTCGCCATGCAGCCTTTTGACTTTGATGTTCTCTACAAGAAAGGGAGAGACAACTGCACAGCTGATTACCTTTCTAGGACGCCGCAGGGGTCGTCTTCAGAGGGAGGGGGAAATGTCATGGGGCTACCCCATGCCTTCATTGAAGCCAGCAGTGTTGGTCTTGGCATGCTAAGCTAACCTTAGCTGAGCATTAGCATAGGACGGTTACCCTTAGCATATGGGCTAGCATCAATGGACACATGGCCTGCCATTTCATGTCAGTTCATATAAGTACTGGTCAGAAGAGTTGAAATCATGGTTGGATAAATACAACACATACAGTTCATTTCAAGTAATTTATTTTAGCTTATGGGATTTACCCAAGGTCATTCAAGTGTTTGTGTTTTATTCACCTGTTCTCCTCATCAAGCAGGGATCTGGGCCAAAGGGGCAAACAGGAAGTGATGGAGTGTGGAGTCATTTATAGGGAGAAGACCTGGAATGGTCCAAGTGTGAGCCAGTACAGAGGGGTGTACGGGAGTATCTTAAAGTTGCTCTTTTGAGAAGCTTTTGTTTAGCTGGTAACATTTCATTTCTGGTTTTCTAGTTGATTTGTTGTGTGGTGATGTAGCCAGAGATGTGTTTGATGGTTGAGATAACATAATGGTGTTTAATTGATTGTCAATTAACTTTGGTTTGTCTTGTAGGAGGGGCTTCTGGTATAAAGGAAGGAGGCAGAGGCCCCTGGAGAGAACAGCTTGGGCCTGGAAGTGCACATGTGCTGGAGCCCAATAGTCAGGGCTGATATAGGTTTTGCTTTGTTTTGTGTAATCTCAGTTTGTAATGATAATTTGAATAGTATATACTTAGTTTTCTCGTTGTTTGTTTTTGTTAATTTTTGATATATTTTTACAATACCTCACTTGCACAACTGCACTTTCCACGCATCTGGTTTAAAAATAAATTGAAGCACCAGGTGAAGAACTCATGTCCATGTCTCCTCCTTCCACCATGGGGCTAAACCTTACACTTACTCTTCCTGAAGTTGGTTAAATTATTTCATTTATCACCTGGAATCCAAATGTTCCACTCTTTAAAACCTTCGTCAATATAAGGAATATAAGGAATACAGTTAGCAATATGAACAATCAAAGAATATCATCTGGTGATAGAAAATGCCTTCTCTTCTGAATGATATTCACAATAAAACTGTTCCTAAATCAATTGTTTAACATTATATAGGAATGGTACAGCTGATACTGAAAGCAAGCTACATACTTGCCATTCAAGGTCTAACCATATTGATTTAGGGTCTTAATTCTAATTAGTTTTCAATTTATTGACCAATGATAGTATTAAAACCTTGATACTACAAACCTCCATTTACCACTGGCACTTTCCCAAATAAACTTAGAGGGAAAATTAATTGCATGGCCCTTCACAAATCTTTGAGATTAGTTTTTTATTAGAGTACAAAATTCTAGTGAGCACATTTATTTTACTATCAGCCCAAACCAGGAAAGTATAAGTGACAACTATCCAAGTAAATCCTATTTATTTAGTCAATGGCTTTTTTCAGCATCTAAAGAGACGACCATAGGATCTAGAAGTTGTTTTAAGAATATTTAATGACCCCCAGTAAGCACTTTACATTAATGTAGGAATGCTGACCTTGCACTAATCCTGTTTGAACAGGCCCAATGATGGTGGGCAGGATAGAGTTTAATCTCTTAGCTAAATGCTTGGCCAGTTTTTTTTCTTTCTAGACATTGCAAACTAATTTATCTTTGAGAAAGGTTCTTCTGGGTTAATACCAGTGTTGAAGTTTATTGTGCTTGAACACACTGCAAATCTATCTGCTGGGAATTGTTGGGTCTCTGTAAATTATATTATAAAGAGTTTGGTCTAGACTTTCTCTATATGAGATTACTTTTGTTATTAAGTAGTGTTATATAAATAAAACTGCCCATACAGCCAATGGGAAGTCATGACTAGTTCCCAAAGTAGCGTTTGTGTTAGCCTTGTCATTGTTACGGCCTACAAGTGTGCTGGAAGCGTCTCTAATGCAATATAATCTGAAATGATGCAGTAAACCCCTTATCGACGCACACTTTTTATCTTGATTGTGTTAATGTTACATTGTAAACAACAACAGCTTACTGTTTTCACTTTGCTTTGGTGTTTAGGTTATGGCAGCTATCTGTGTTGGTTTAGGCAGTCATTGATTCAGGAGGGAATTCTTGCACATTTCTCTTAAAAATCAAGTGAAAGTGTCTTTGAATATCTTGTATAGTTCTGGGAGGAAACCATCAGGGCCAGCAGCTTCCCTTGTTGATGGGATGTCATCAATAGCTTCCTTCATCTCTGCAAATGTAATTTGCTTGTTCAGTGATATAATCAGGATGCCTCCGTTCCTTTGGAGGTTTTCCAGGCATGTCAAACTCAGAACACGCTGGAGAGATTAGAAATCTCATCTGGCTTGGGAACTGCCAGGAGGGGATGGAAAACATTGCTGGGGAGAGGGACGTCTGGTCTACCTTGCTTAGCCTGCTGAGTGGGTGACTTAGCTCTGAATAGGTGGCAGGTCATAGATGGATGAATGGACTTATAACAGCTTAAAGATGGTCAGGTATCTGACAGCATCATAGTTAACAAATACACTACTTCAAACTCCCTCCAAGAATTCTGGTTTGGTCACCTTGTCCAACCATACATCATATAAATGGGGATAAGGGAGCACACATTCAGACGGTCAAATTCAAATATGACATTTGTAGCGTTGCAGAAGAAGTTATGTAGAGATTAAAAAAAACAGAGCTTGAGAAAGAAGTTTTGATCCTGCTTACTTCCACAACTCCACACACTTGACCGGTCACTGTGTAAAGCGGCTATGGCTTGACAGTTTGTAGATCTAGCACCTCAACATTGGAACGGTGTGGTTAGAGCAGGTTTCCGAAGCTTTTTGATGAGCTAAGACACAATTTCCACACACTCTTGAAGGCATCAGGCAATATCTATAAAACCAAAATGACAGAGAAAGTCCAAAAGACTGGGAAGGCACGAGGAACACTGGTAAGACACAAGACAGATAGCAATCAGTGACACAGAAACTGGACGTAAAGTGCCTGTGCTGACTAAAGTGGCATTAAGGGTTGTTGCTACATTAGAACAGGCTGAATAAAACATCTGTAATAATGGAGCAGAAGGAGAAACATGAACATAAAACAAGCCTTTCATGAAGGAAAAGCCTTAAATGGTTGTGAATCAAGACGAAATTATTGCACAATAGCAGACCCCACCACCTCCACATACATTCTGAACACTTTCTACAGCTGGTTTGAGATCCTTTCCCACTCTGCTGCCTATGAGGAGGTGCTGACAGAACTCTTTTACATGAGCCTACACTTTTCCCCTTCACACTGGAGGGTGTTCAACAACTGCTGAGCAGGTGCAAACCCAGCAAGGCACCAGGACCAGATGGCCCTGTGGCATGGAGCACTCTCCCACCGTCAATGCCCTCATCTGGTAACCCTAAAGGACAGCATACACATCCACCATCATACCAATGCCCGAGAAACCCTGTCCTTCAGAGCCCAACTAGTGCCGACCACTCAGTACAACACGAATTAAATGCCTGGAAGAACTGATTCCATCATCCAGCCAGCCGTCAGACCACAGCTGGATTGCCACCAGTTTGACTACAGGGCCAAACGAGCCACAGAGGGCGCTGTTGCTGTCTCTTCCACAGCTCTGACTTTTGTGAACTGGAATCCCAGAAGGGGCATGAATGTATAGATCAGAGCTATTCAATTACAAACTCAATTGACCCTTCGCCGACCCACGCCCCAAATACACAGCTGGGCAATCACAACGCAGTATAGGACTCGCTCTAACTGAGGTCCGAAACTTTCGTGGCTGCACTCCATTGACTCTAATGCAAAAGGTGGTGTTTTCTAGCTTTTTTTGGCTGTATTTTTCCAAGATATGGTCAAACGCTGTTCCTGGGGCATCTTGTAATAGTTACAGCAGCTACCAGAGAGGCTGAAAAGAAACGATTTATTCTCTTTCCAAAACCTAAAACAAATCCAGAAAAATGACGGCTGTGGATTGTTCCTAATGTAATGTAAGTTTGCTAACGCTAGCTAACTTCCTACTTAATGTAACGTAATAATGTCCCTACTGTTCTGCTTTTTAATGAATAATGAATAGAGGCCTATCCAGTTTTACAGGAACAGTGTTGTTGTCTCTCATATTGTTGTCTTTTGTCTCAATCGTCGGGGGATCCTGTTGGTTCACTTGTACTGTGTGATCGGTAGGCTTTAGCTACTATCTTTCATTTTTTTCACATCAGTTTGAGACAGTTTGTGTCCGTTTGAGTCAGTTTGAGTCAGTCTGAGTCAGTCTGACAGCCTGTATAAAACAAATCTATAATGCAACTGCAAAACTGTCTGCTTGACAGTTTCTTAGATCACTTTTTCCAACAAATTTGACAATATTTCTCCAGGGAGTGCAGTAATAGACAGTGGCAGTGCCGACAGTTTGTCGGGACTTAACAGTAACTAAGGGGGGCGGAGCTTAGCGAAGGGTCAATCGGGCCAGATTTTAAAACCACAAAATGAAGATGAGCCAGACATTTTCAGTAGCCTATTTAAAAACTTTTTTTAGCTTTTGGAAATTATAAAATTGAAAAAATAAAAAGTAAACTGCAGAGACTTCCCTACTTGTGCCTGGTTGCACCCCTCCCCCACCTGGAGATGAAATCAACTGGGAGTGATAAATCATCAAACTAAAGCTTGATTTATACTCCTGCGTAGAGTCTACGTGCATAGCTACGCCGTAGGCTACGCACATAGCCAGGCATTTACACTTGTGTGTCAATGCGTCTGTCATTCTGCAATTACACCTCCGAACGCTAGTTGGTGGTAGCGCTACAGCGTCCGCTGTGTTGGAGATGGTATAGCCTTTTCAAATGTTATCAACCGAGTGGATCACATTCTGAAAGTGAAATGAGTCATTTCGCTTGGGTTGCAACGGTCAAATATATTGATCCACCGTGTTACAGCCGCCGTTTTGGCCGATAGTAAAAGTTACTACAAAGCACAGGGCACTTCTGGTCGGCTCGGAGGCATTGCGAAATTTTTGAGGAGATGCACGTCAGGTGACTCTGCGTAGCCCCGTAGCCTACACCGTCACCTACGCCATCGATTCGACGCAGAAGTATAAGTTACACTTAAGTCTCTACCTGCTTACATTTTCTCACTTGTTAGGATGGGCATTTCCAGGATTTTATTGATACACTCTTATTTACACTCATCAATTTGGTTCTTTATTAATACTCTTGATTCTTTTTCATTACTAAGTAATTGCCTTTAAAAGAAATTATTTAAATAAATTAACCTGATTAAAATGATCATAACCCAATGTTTCCAGCACAGCAGCAGTAACATTTACAGCAAAATCATTGTATAAACTCAATATTGCAATGGAAACAAATCTAAAATGTCAAATTAAATCATTTTTCTGACATAAAAATACCGACTAGTTTAGAAAGATTGAAGAACTCAGGCATCAGTCAGTATCAGCCCTTCCCCCTGTCCTCCTCCTTCTCCTCCCTCTTCTGCTGCTGGTAGACAGAAGAGAGGCTGGTTTGTCTCAGTCAGCAGCTAAGTTTGCAAGGAGATTAAGATTTGCGGTGGCAAATAAGCGCTAAACAGGTGAAAGTTTTAGAACCAGACGCGGCCACATTTGGACAAGAGGGAGGAGCTAACTAGCATGGTTTGTAAGGTGCATCCGTAGTTCATGTTAACTTTGATATTAGCTGGGATGCTAATCGAAAAACAGGCTTAAAACAAAATGTTCTTACTGGAAAAATGACCAGCTAACTCTTTTTACAAGTGTACACAGAGCAGTGGATATGAGTCACCTCTAGCCTGATTGACAGGTTGGCTTGGTGGCAACTTTTCAATCCCAAGTTTGCCCCACCCTAAAGCATCCCCTGCTTTCTATTTTCCTCTAAATGGGACCAAAACATAA